TGAAATATTCCATAATTATCTATATATAATTATGAAAATCTTCCATAATTATCTATATCTTTTTTTTGTAAATTAAATATATTGATATTTAGTAGTTGTTGTGATTTATGTCTGACCCTATTTTTTTTTTATATATATATTTGTCGGGGCTTCTATCTGATATAGACACTTTATGTAAAGTATTTACGCATCCATATTAGCGCATTAACCAAAAAAAGGTTTAGCAAAGTTTTCATCTACCCGAAAACGATTAAAGCAAAAACGCCTGGAAAAAAGGACAACTAAACTGGTTCACTTGCAAATTCTAGTTTTCAACACTGAAAGATATTAAAAGTCTAAAGAGGATTTTGAATATGGAGAGACCCTCTTCTTCTCTTCTTCGCATTCATTTGTTTCTTGACAATACGAGCAGGTGCACTGTGTTTCGCCTCAGTGTGAGACTGCAATCCTTTTTCCGAGTTAAACACTCGGCTGCACACCTTGCATCCAAACAACACTGGTGTCTCCGATGACTTTGCATTTGATGGACGGGGAGTTACAACGTGGACGGGAGGTAACTCTAACTCTGTTTTCACAATATTTAGATTATATCAGCCAATGTTTACAGAGCAAAACAGCAATTCACCAAATCATATTTGATCAAACAAGCTTGTAGGGGTTACTTAAGCGATAACAACGTATATTTAAACAGTTAAAAGGATATGGTTCAGTTGGATCAATTTTGCTTGCTATATAAATGTCAAGTACATTTACATAGCAAACATAGCATGTCTATATAAAAATTTCTACTCACCTCCACCAATAGCACCCGCACCCTCATCATCGGCAGTGAGACGTAAAAAAAGAGAGTCAAGGACTTCAAATAGAGAGCAAAACAGCAATTCACCAAATCATATTTGATCAAACAAGCTTGTAGGGGTTACTTAAGCGATAACAACGTATGTTTAAACAGTTAAAAGGATATGGTTCAGTTGGACCAATGTTGTTGCCGCTGAAGTGAACGCTGCTCCCATTCTTCATCATCAAGGCCTTAAGCAGTCCCTTTCTAATCTCTGGACAATGACGTACATCCAGGTCTTTAAGATTTAGTGCTTCAGGATTTGCTGCTAACTCATCTCTCCTTACCACCAAGTAACCAAACCTAATAATTATGGGTTAATAACAATTTATCAAAAAATCATTTAAAATATAAAACATTCAGAAACTCTGTTACTTACCCCAGTATTTCTCCAGTCTCTTTGTTTAAAGGCAATAATATTTTCTCCACCGCACATTTTTTGAATTTGCGTGTCAACTCTTGTGCGACTATGTCCTTATCCGTACTAATATTTTCCAAGTCACCGACTGCGTATACAACAAATCTGAAGTGTTGCAAATAAACAGAATTTTAAAATTTAAAATCAAGTAAATCAAATTTTTTAAATTTAAAAAGAAAAGCAAAATTCATTTACCTGCCAACTACTTCTGAAAGATAATAAACCCTGCCGTTGTATTCCCGTCCTTCCAAATCGAGGGCTTTCTTCAAGTCTTGATGAGTAGGAAAAACTACAAGAGCCTCAAAGACCTTAGCTTTGAGCTCCTCGTCCCACGCATCCCACTTTTTTTCAACTCTCACAATCATAATATTAGCTTTCTCCTCAAAAAAGTGCTTACTGCAAAAAGACAAAAACAAAATTAAATTAATAACTTTGTTAGTAAAATAGTATACTTTTATCCAGAGTTTGGGATTATACTTATTTATACTTACATCTCATTTGTAGTCAACATTTCTTCAGTAAAACGAGTAGCCAAATGAAGTTTTTTAGCCTTAAAAACAAGAAAAACAAGTTAAAATAGAAATCATTACAAGAATTGTATAACAATATAAATCACAACTTACAGAGAAGAAAAAATCTTGATCATCAAAAAATTCAGTGCTGGTATTAGGTAAAGGTGCAAACGTCGGTTTTGGATCAAAAG